GCCACATAAAAATAATAGGATATGGCAACACTTGGAAAACTGTATGGAATTTAAACAAAAGGGTAACAAACTTCTCTCTTTACAGCTCACATACAGCTTCCTTCACATATCTTTTATTGACTGTTTGTTTGAACATCTTAGAATAGAACCACTCACAGCAGGCTTGCAATGTGTTTACATACACTACCCATGCCCCCTCTAATGCACTTTTATCCCAACTACGGGATTTAGCAAAAAGGTCAAATGCACTTTTAACAATCTAGTATTACAATGCTAGTGGTAATAGATAGGCCTTTGCTTTTAAAGAAAACGAGGATAAGAGCTTTCCCCAGCAGAGCGGTTTCATTTGTTGTCCTTTCCACAACAGCTTGGTTAACCTTGAAGGTATTACACAGAGCATACCTTGCCATTACAAACTTTTACATGGCTACTCTCCTGAAACTGCAAATTATTCAAGTTTTGCCCGTCCTCTGATCCAAACGAGCAAAACCACATCACCGCTACTACCATAGTAATGCTTTTATAGAACAGCCCATAGAAGTAAGAACTACACACTCATCTTTAAGGAGTATATAAACATTTCTTTTTCACAAGCTATTTTCCAGTTGGATGGGTTGAGGGCCGTTATTAAAAGCTGCACACTGCAACAGTTAACTCAAAACGTGCTCTCTTCACTCCTCTGCTGTCCTCACCTTGAGGTGAAGATTGGTGGTAGGTATACAGAAGTCAGCTGAATCATCACTTCATAGGTTACAGAAATGTGTAACGACAATTACTCTAGTAATTGCTTCCATAGCACATTTTAATCTGGTGAGGGACATTATTTTATTTTTAAAATATTGATAGCCCACTCTTTCACCCGTAAAACTTTCAAGGTGACTTTATAGACTATTATGTTTGGCCTCGCAATGACTCTTTTTGGTGGGTTACTATGGCTTATATAAAGAAACTTCAGCTTGGGTAACAAGCCTGCACAATGAGTCAATATTACAAATATGGATCTTAAACCAGGTCAGAGACTCTTGAAGACCAAACTTTCTTTTCAGTTCTCATAATATTTTGTACATGGCTTTGCACATATTGAACCAGTCTGATGAATGCTCTAGCTAGCATGATTTATCTTCAGCTACTTCTATTTTCCAGACAGAACCTCAACATTTACAATACAGTGGTACCTCGGGTTAAGTACTTAATTCATCCCGGAGGTCTGTTTTCAGCCTGAAACTGTTCTTAACCTGAAGCACCACTTTAGCTAACGGGGCCTCCTGCTGCCGCCGCGCCGCTAGAGCACGATTTCTGTTCTCATCCTGACGCAAAGTTCTTAACCTGAACTACTATTTCTGGGTTAGCAGAGTCTGTAACCTGAAGCGTATGTAACCCGAGGTACCACTGTATGTTTTATCCTTTTTGTGTGTATGTAAGCTGCCCGAGGTATTACCTGCTACAGAAAGGCTATATAAACATTTTTAAACAAACAATCCATTTCACAGCGCTTTTCTTCTATCTGTTCACAGCAACAAGGCTTCATTAGTGTCAGATTCTTTGTGGGGGGCACTGATGGGGTGGGGATGTGTTTACCCCATGCAAAGACATTTACACCTTGGCTAGAGACAAATTAGGAATGGTCTTGTGATAAGAAACAGCAGCATCAAGCAGCAGTATCTCACAACCAAGTACAGAATATAAATGCATTTTGTATGACGTTGTCGGGTGAACATGGATTAAAAACTCTGCCCTGGAAACACAGTGGTTGCACAGTAAACGGAAGTGTGAACACAGTCACTATCTTAGCAGGACTCTGCTTCAAATCTGCTGATCATCATCCACTCGACAACTGCATCCAGGCACTGGTTCAATCTATGCACTGTCCCTCCTGACTCAGATCTGATAGCAAAGCAAAGCCTAGTGTCATTGGGATACTAACACTGTACCCCAAACCTCCTATTGGTTTGCTCCAAACAGATTCATATAGATGTTAAGTAGCATTGGGATAAGAAGAGTGTCACAGTTAAATTGCCAAAACCTAGAACGTGCAGCCCCCTAGCCGCTAAGAGATCCAGCAGCAGTAGGGTTGCACTCTGCCACCTGTCCCTCGAAGGAGGTCATTTGTTAGGGCAACCAAGGCCAATTCTGTGCCAAGCCTGAATCCAGACTGAAATGGGTCCAGTTAAAACAACTGCACATATAACAACAATTTCAAAACTAATAGAGATACCGAACGGATAAAAATAAAATCTCCACTTAGGAGGCTTGAACTTATTTGCCATTGATAATAAAAATTTAAAGGCAACAGTTCAAAATGAAACAAAGCTCTCTTTTATAAAACATCTACTGAAAAACCTGCAGCATCCCCTTGCAAACATCAATACTGTATATTTGTCAACAAAAAAACCCCAAAACCTATACAATTGTTTCCAAACAAGAAGAATACCAGGCACCTCTACAGACGCCAAGATGCAGCTCATCATTTAGGAAGGTTCTGCAATCAATTATTGATGCCTGCTGCTTTCTGGCCCCATTTTTTCCATGTACATAATTTATAGGGAAACAAGAGTTGGGGGGTGGGGAGAGGCAGAAAGACAGGCATTTGAAAGAACCCTGGAGCTCACCAAAACTAATGCAGGCACATTATTGAGGGGCAAGAGAAAAGGAATGCAGTTTGACCAGAGAGTTAATCTAGCCTTCTAATGAAACATGGAAGAAGCTGAGAGATGCAGGACCTGATTTAAAAGTGAGCATAGTGAAAACCTTGCAACTTTCTTCGATAAACAGATGCAGAATCACAGCAAGCCACACATTTAGGTGACCAGATGCAGTGGGAGGTCAGGATTCAGTTGTGCAGAAGAAAGCTGAGCCTGGCAAGGGCTTGCAGGGCTGGGCATATAAGGTTGCCATATTCCAGAAAGTGAAAATCCAGACACAAATGTTGTTGAGCTTTTTTGCTATACATTTTTTTTTTGCCAATTTCCACCCAGACACTGCTTCCAACTGCAGTATTCTGGGTATGTCCGGGAATTCCATGCACAACCTTAGGTAAAGGTAAAGGTACCCCTGCCCGTACGGGCCAGTCGTGTCCAACTCTGGGGTTGTGCGCTCATCTCACTTAAGAGGCCGGGGGCCAGCGCTGTCCGGAGACACTTGGGGGTCACGTGGCCAGCGTGACGAAGCTGCTCTGGTGAGCCAGCACCAGCGCAGCACACGGAAACGCCGTTTACCTTCCCGCTAGTAAGTGGTACCTATTTATCTACTTGCACTTAGGGGTGCTTTCGAACTGCTAGGTGGGCAGGAGCTGGGACCGAAAGATGGGAGCTCACCCCGCCGCGGGGATTCGAACCGCTGACCATGCGATCGGCAAGCCCTAGGCACTGAGGTTTTACCCACAGCGCCACCCGCGTCCCTATGCACAACCTTAGACCTGTACTTATCAAAAATCCCTCCTCTTGCCCCTCTGTGAGCTTCCAGTTCACCTTGTCTACACATATTACCTCACCCTGCACATGTGGCTTTAGATCCTGGTCTCCAAAGAATCCATTATGAAGTGCTAAAGAGATCTTATTTGATATTTTGCAGCAAAGCAACCCATCCACAAAAAAGGTCTATGGGAGGGAGCATAATGGCCAAATGGCTCTGAGTTCAAGTTTGCTTTTCAATGCTGAATACGCAAGAGAGTGTAGCACACACTCCCATAACCAAGGCTAAGAGACTCAGCTGTGAACTACGCAGTCCCCAGTTTGAGGCTCCCCTCAGCTGCCTATCTGTTATGTGAACACAACCACCAGAAGAACAAAATTCACCTATGCTCCCTGACAGCCTAGCAAGCTGCTTGTCGTTTCCCAGTGACAAAAACGCACAGCAACAACCAAGTGTCAGGCAGGAACAGTAGAACTACGCTTTTAGAAAACAACTGGTTAGACCCCACACAGCTGTGTGCCTTACAGATAGTGAGCAGTAGCTTTATCTTTCCAAAATTAATCTCAGGTGTCTCAACTGGCTGCTTTAATTACAAAGACCTCTCCAGAGAGACTACTCTTCATTACCCTGGTGTATAGATCGTTATTAGCAAGACAGAACCCACAAAAGTTTGCATCATCCTAGAAGCAAGGTGGACAAGCCTGGAGAGAACATGGCATAGCACCTTAATATCACTTCTGTGATAAGTAAAGATATTCTACAGTCCAACCTATTGTGATTAGAGCCTAAGTTGCACATATCCATCCACCCTTTCCCTTTCAGCATCATTCTACTTTCTCTTTTTTTTTCTTCCAATTTTTTTTACTGATATTCCAGATTTTTCACACAGAAAAAAGAAAAAAACATATCAAAGAAAATAAACTAAACACATAATTATTACTTCAAATACCTAAATCTCTTAACATTGGTAACTGACTTCCTCAAATCCCCTCTATCTGAATTTCATTATATCACCTGTATAACAGATCTCCAATTTCATATTTCTAATAATATTAACTCCTTTCATTAACTAACCTCTTCTCCTTTATTATTATTCTAATCATTAATATTTAGTACCACATATTCTTATTCTACCCCTAAGCCTATTTGTTAATTCCAAGAATTTTCTATTTATCTTACATTACAACATTTAGCTAAATATTCTTTAAATTTCTTCCAATCCTCTTGTATCTCCTCTTCCTTCTGGTCGCGGATTCTTCCAGTCAGGTCGGCCAGCTCCAAAAAGTCCAACATCTTCATCTGCCATTCTTCTAGTGTTGGTATCTCTTGCGATTTCCAGTTTTTGGCTAATATCACTTCTGTGTAAGCAGTAAAGATATTCTACAGTCCAACGTGTTGTGATTAGAGCACATATCCACCCTTTCCCTTTCGACATCACTCTACTTTCTCTGCAGCTTTGGTGGGTGGGGAATCCTGATGTTAGGTTCACTTTGGAGGGTAAGCAAGAAACGTCCTCGTCTTGGAATTATAGAGTTGGAAGGGACCACAAGGGCCATCTAGTCCAACCCCTTGCAATGCAGGAATATTTTTGCCCAACATTAAGCTTAAACTCATGACCCTGAGATTAAAAGCCTCATGCTCTACCGACTGAGCTATCCCAGTTTTAGATGTCTTCTGAAAATTACCATTGTTTATCCAGGCCTTTGCAATATGTATTTGTTTCCTTTCAAATCAACCAGTATTTACAGATGTTTTATTTGTGTTTCTCCTGATGCCTTTACTGATTCCATTGTAATCCTGTATCGCTACATACTGCTGCATTATGCCTTTATGAAAGTGCAGATTTATAAATATTTGAATAAATAAATGAACCATCACATTCTGCCAGTACAAGGATTTCTGCTTGTGCTCTGGAACTTTCCACCCCTTGCACCCTCTGCAAAGCTGCTCCAGATTTTTTGGGGGGACCTTTAGAACCAATTTAATGGGGGCACTGGCAGGAGGATAGGGGAGAACATTCTGTTTCACAAGGATAAATCCTTGTGCTGATGGAACAAGAAGCTCAGAGCTACATTAAATTCCACCCTAAATAAATAGAAGAATAATTCTTAAGTTTTAGAGCTTTCATACTTTGGGTGCATGAGCATATTTAAAAGACTTGTCGCTTAAAACAGATCTTACTGATTTTTGTGTGTTTGTGCGCTAGAGATAAAGAGATGAGGATGAGAAAGGAAACTGTACTTTAACGGGTTCAAAATGCTTCCTATATTCGCTCACTACTTCCTACATCAAACCTGCTAGTTGGAACGTGTTTACCATTGCTCCCATACAGACCAACCAGAAGTTCAATAAATACAGTGGTACTTCAGGTTACATACGCTTCAGGTTACACACTCCGCTAACCCAGAAATAGTGCTTCAGGTTAAGAACTTTGCTTCAGGATAAGAACAGAAATTGTGCTCCGGCGGTGCGGCGGCAGCAGGAAGCCCCATTAGCTAAAGTGGTGCTTCAGGTTAAGAACCGTTTCAGGTTAAGAACGGACCTCCAGAACGAATTAAGTATTTAACCTGAGGTACCACTGTAAGGCTTAAAAACCACTTGTTACATACAAAGCTAATAAATTTCCGCCGGTTGCATGCATACTCGATCACCACAGCAACAAGCATAGCAAGTGTCCAGATTAATAACTGATGCACCTTTCCTAATGACTTGCTATATATGCAGAAAACACTCTATTCATCAAAGGTGTATAGCCACTTCATATACTTCTAAGCCCCCCACCACCTGGCAAAGCCATCCGCACACCTCATCAGGAAACCACAGATCAACCTAATGCAATATAACTGTGTCAAAAGCATAGGGGGAAAGCTGGAATCACTTGCAGATCCTATAACTCAAACAGGTGAGCCAAGCTGCAGAACACATATCAGATCATGTATATGTAGCTGATAGAACACTTAACATGCATTACAAAAAAAGCATTTACTCATGTTACAGATTAGGAAAAACTGCCCTTGGGGTGGTATTTATGATTATGATTTTAGAAGCTCTTAACCTCAGTCTATAACAAAGATCTCAAAACACAAGTGAGCAGAAGCAAGCCAAGCCACAGAATACAACTGAAGCCACAATATGCATCCTTAATGTCAAGGAATTGCACACCATCACTGACTGCTACTCAACCAAACTCAAAAACACTGCCTTGCACCTTTATACATACAGTATAATGTCAGAGGCTTGAAGGGTTGCTATGGGAAATACTGGTGGGTTACTTCCATGAATGTGATTCTGTAACCATTACAGGCACAGGTTAATTCCGGCCATCCAGATGTTTGGGACTACAATTCCCATCACTCCTAGCTAACAGGACCAGTGGTCAGGGATGATGGGAAGTATAGTCCCAAACATCTGGAGGGCCAGAGTTTTGCCTATGCCTGGATTAGAACCCAAAAGAGGAAATGTGCTGAACTGGCCAAACCAATCTCTCTGTCAACTAATGGTCTTAGCTGGCCAGTTAAGTACTGTCATCAGCATCTTCAAGAGTGAGCCATATTGCCATAGCAACTCTAAGTGGAGATGCTTCCAGGAAGAGGAGAGTGAGCCTTTTCCCACCTTACCTGGCCAGATGAGTCTTGCTCTGTGCTGAATCCAAAGCTATGGTTTTGGGGAAACCCAGAAAGCTAATGGGAGTGTTCATGTCAGAATGCTGTGCTCAGGTTGTATATGTTTGCAAATTAAACTGTATATCCTAAAGATACCACAGTCCCCATTCACCTTCACTCTATGGACACCAACAATATATACATATACACAGATAATGATCTACACACACACACACACACACACACACACACACACCATCCAGATATGGTGGCAGCAACCACCACTACAGTGGTACCTCGGGTTAAGTACCTAATTCGTTCCGGAGGTCTGTACTTAACCTGAAACTGTTCTTAACCTGAAGCACCACTTTAGCTAATGGGGCCTCCTGCTGCCACCACGCCACTGGAGCACGATTTCTGTTCTTATCCTGAAGCAAAGTTCTTAACCTGAAGCACTATTTCTGGGTTAGCGGAGTCTGTAACCTGAAGCGTATGTAACCTAAAGCATATGTAACCTGAGGTACCACTGTACTTTTAACTAGCCTTCTACTTGCTTGTCAGGTAGTGGCACATTCACCATTTTAAATTGTGTGGGAGAAGTCACACATCGCTTCCAGGTCTTCTCCAAGTCCTCATTTTCCTTCACTGACATGCATAGCTGCATTAAGCTGCCCATCGACTAAAAAGGCCACTTTTAAAGCTGACTTTAAAAACCACACAATGGATTGGCACCAGACCAATGAAATGGATCCTCTATTAGGATAGCTGATTGTTAAAAACAACAACAACAATTTCAGCCTCCAACATGGCAACTTTTAAGGTATGTGTTTGGTAAGGGGGGAGATGCTGGCAACAAAAACCACCTACTCTTCAAGCCACAATTTTTAACTTGCTGCAAACCCAGCCATTTTTTAACCAACATTTCTGAAACAATTTTATTTGCTTATACAGAGAGATCCTCCATATCGATTTTATAAGGAACAAGATTTGCATGCTTTGTAACGGCAGAAAATTCAAAGTACACTCAGCCTTCAAACCTCAGATATGCAATTGTGGCTCTATAATCATCACAGTTCTTCCTCAAATATTTTTTTAAAAATAGCACAGCAGAACAGATAAGCTGGAAAAACCTCATTCTAAAAATGAAAAGGGTATTGCTGAGACTTGTTTCTTTGTCTGGCTCGTAGTCAGTGAAGGATCTATAAAACTGACTAGATATTCACTGACTGGAGAGAGGAAATCTCTTTGAGGCATATAGCGCCTTCTACTTCACTTGCTGCATAATCATTTGGACACCAGCAACTAAACACAGATAAAGCTCTGGATCAATGTGTGCATTTGAGAGTTCCCTCCCCTCTTCAGGGTTACATAAAAGATAGAGGAAGACAATTTGTGTGCCCTAGTAGCTATACTCCGAAGCCAACATTAGCTGCCCACCCACCCATCACTGCCCATCTGTGAAAGTATGGCTGGAAGTCTTAATACATTAATCGCTGATTAAAAGCAAGGCTTTTGGTCTAATCAGATTTTGATTAGAGTAGTAAGAGATGTTTAGCATTTCTGTTTGTCACCCAACCTATGTGAAATGCCACTACTAAAACAGCATTTCCCCCCGTCTCCACTTCCAAAGGTCTTGGTCCTAGAAGACATACATATTATTTCTATTCTATTCTATTCTATTCTATTCTATTCTATTCTATTCTATTATAGAAAGGCTTGAAGGAGAGGGAAACCTCTACCTCAAGAAATAAGAACCAAATTACAGCTGTTTAACAGACACCTGCCCCAAGAGGACTAAAACCTCATTAAAGAGAGTTAAATTATTGTGGGAAATGCAGTCCTCCTCAAGAAATCTGCAACTTCCAAGGTCACAAAGAAAATGGGGACATGGTTGGTTGGTTGGTTAGTTAATTAGTTAGTTTATTCAACAAGGTTTATATACTGCTTAATCATCCATAACCTCTCTAAGCCGTTTACATGGAACATGACCAAGGTTTCTATAACATAGATGCCAACGCCTGCAAATACAGACATGAAGCTGTCCGATGCGTGTGAGAGAAGCCAAACCCAGAGCAACCGGGGGTGAAAGAGAAATATATAGGCTTGCACACCGTTCCATCCTAATTATGCTCCCAATGACGCTTGTTTTGTGGGTTTAAAATTGTGCTGAAGGCTCAGAAAGTGGAAAGCCTAGGAAAAAAATCTCAGCTGTGCCCTGGACGGAGCAGCAGGCTAATTAGCTGCCTACTTTTGCCCTGGTTTATTGTTTTGTTTTGTTTTTAATTTAAGATAGAAACATTTTATACAGATGCTTACAGAAAGGGAAGGGCTTGTGAACCGGTAAGCAGTAGGCGGCATTTATCCTGGAGCCATTTGTACATCAACAAGGGAAACAGACAGCCCTTGTGCTGCTTGCAGTTCAGATAATCCACTTAAGTGCAGAAATCCTCCTTTCCCATGAGCCCCTTACTGCTCTCGTCCGGTCTTACTGGATAGTATCTAGAGAAGCTGAAGAAGAGACGTATGATGCAACTTTGGGGGTGGGGTTAGGGGGAAAATGTCTTGTTTGTTTCTCAGTTTGGAGATTTGTTTACCTGTGCACGAAGCAGAACAGTCCTGGTCAGCCAGGCCCAATTGTCTGTCTGCTGGACATGATCTAGTTAACTAACCAGATTTAATGAAAAACCTGGAAGGCCTAGACAAGGTCAGCAATTTCTGCTTCAGCCAGAATTAGTTTATGATATATTGTAATAGGTGTTTTAACTAAAATATTCCTCAAGCGTTATTGTAAGGAAATTAATAGGTATTTCACAATATGCTCGAGGTTCTAATAAGCCAGGTCTCGGTTTAACACAAGCGAGTTTCCATTCATATTCATGATTTATAGCCACATAAAAGAGTACCAGATCATGCACATTCCCTTATTCTAAGGGAGAAGTGATACAGCCGTTTTACTGAAGCTAAGCCAGCCCGAGTCTGGAGCCTCACATTGGAAAGTGGGAAATAAAATGTGCTAAATAGTGTAAAGCAATGATGCACCTAATGCAGGTGTGGGA